CTACGGGGAAAGTTGAAGATCCTTGTCTATATTCCTTAAACGCAAATGGAGGGGATACATGATAAATACACTTGGAAGGGCCTGGAGGGATTGGTACCAAACCCAAACCAAAAAAACCCATACCTGGAGTTTACCTGGAGAGTTCCCGGGGGGGAATGCCCCCGTGGGCCCGGTCTGTGCCCGGCCTCATGGTGGATTTAGAGTTGACAACCAGGCTGTTTCTGCGGCTGCAAAGTATGAGCCACAGCCGGGGGCAGGGACCAACTTTAGGTGCTTGTCCCGTGCCTGCTTGAAGATGCAGGGGTTATTGGTAATTTCCCCCTTTTTATGCTGGGAGGGGATTTGAACAGCTTGGGCCCCCTGACCTTATTGTTTGTCTCTTTAAAAGCTAGTGACACCCCTGCTTTTTTTTTGGGGGGATGTTTTATCGTCTGCCTAGTTTTTGCTTTGTATGAGTGATTTTGTGTGCAAATTCGGTACTAGTCCCTCTGGGTTTTTCAGGTGTTATAATCATGTATCTTCCCACCTGTGTTTCCCGGGGGTACAGGGCGGAACTTAACGTCCCAGTTTGAGGTGTTTTATCTCCGTTATGTGTACCGTGAAGGTTCTCTGTACATTTTCTAGGTCCATATGAAAGCAAATGACTCAGCAGGAGATGCAACATTTCCCCGAATGAAAAGACAGGTTGTATCCACGGTATAACAACTGAGAACAACACAGTAAGTGTCTGGGGCCTACGACTGTTCACTTTCCTCCCAGCATACATAAAGGGGATTACCAATAGACCTCTGGCTGTCTTCAAGAAGGAGCTGGACAGGCACCTAAAGTCAGTACCTGACCAACCGAGCTGTGGTTCGTACGTCAGCTTGCATGCGGCCAGCAGTAACAGCCTGGTTGATCAGACCCTGATCCACCATGAAGCCTGGTCTCAGACCAGGCCACTGGGGCGTTGACCCCCGAAACCCTCTCCAGGTAAACCCAAGTGTTGCATATGTGTCTAATTTATCAAACAATATATACCAAGCAAATGTAATTGCTTAGGTATAAAACTGTTTATGTGTGACTGTGAAGAGTGGCATAGTGTTGGATGTCATTGTCTACACTGGGAGAAACACACTTGATGATGACAGGTGGATGTTGGGCATTTCTTGTGATGTTGTTTGCAAGATGATGGGGCCATACCTTGGCAAGGGCCATACCTTGGCAAGGGCCATACATTGTACACAGACATCTGGTATACAAGACCTATGCTTGCTGATTTCTTATGTGTGAACAGTACTGATATATATGGAACAGTCAGAAGAAATAGAAAACATATGCCAAGGTTCAGTGGCGGCAGTGTTGCACAAGCGTTTCATGCCAATGACATCATGGCACTGACGTGGCATGACAAACGGGATGTGACGTTACTGTCAACCATCCACAGAAACGAGATGGTACAAAGTGAACAGGGAGACCAATGAACGCATTGTAACATTGTAAAGCCAGCTGCTGTCATTGACTATATGAACAGAATGTGACTAGCTGACAAGAGTGACATGATGATAGGGTTCGTTGACTGGGTGCATAGGAGTCACAAGTGGTATATGAAAGTTTTTCCACCTTGTGACTTTGCAATGCTCAATGCCTTCAATATGTTTGAAATAAAGACTGGAAACCGACTTTGTTATGCAGAATTCAGCTTGATTGCCATCAGCTGCAACCAGTGGGGGAAGTGCCAGACCGAATTCTTGCTAAATGTCACTACCTGATTACCACCTACCCCAAAAAAGAAGTGTTCTCAGAAAAAGTGTGTTGTGTGTGCTAACACCTCAAGGTGACCCCAACAGCGGAAGGACACATGATTCATGTCACCAATGTGGGGTGGCACTTCATATGAATCCATGCTTCATGGAGTATCATACAATCCTGGAGTACTTCAAACATAACTGGGACATGTAAATATCGGTGTATAGCTGTATATAATAGAATGTGATTCAGTCAGGTGTACAGTATTGCCTGTAAGTGTGTACATGTGTGTTTGTGACAAATGGTTAATAATTTTGTATAGAATATTTGTCTGAACAACAGTTGGCTATCAGATCAAAAGATCTACTTTAAAACATTATTATCATACCATAAAAACAGAAAATTAAAAAAAAAAATGGAAAAAACGATAAATATGTAGAATTTCTGCAAGCGGCAGTGCTTCATGTTGCCATCAGGTGAGCGACAAGCACTGACTTTGCGGCCTTATATCCCCATAAGCACTGACTCTAAAAATATTTTTCTTACATTACTTTATGTAAAAAATGTCCTCTTTAATTTTTTTTTTTTTTTTTTTCAAAATATTCGGAGCGCTGGGTGAGAGAACATAGATCTACGTTTGGACAGTTAACCCTTAAACTGTCCAAACATAGATCTACGTTTGCACACACAGCGCTCAGAACGTAGATCAACATTTTATTTTTCATTCCTTCAAATTTGGCGTAATAGGCCTGAATCTCCTAGACATGAGAGAATGGGTCTGTGATCTAAGTATGTGCAGTGTGAAAAAATTTGCTGATGCTGCGGTACTGCGTGGTAGCACCAGTTAGTTTCAGCTCCGTCTTGGGTTAACATCATGGCAAACCCCCGTGATTCACTCATGCCTCTGTGTATTAACACTCTACTATTCTCAGAAAGTGTAACAAAACGTGAAGTTTGTGAATTTGACACTGATATAGCCACTGATATTCAAGGAATTAGTGAAACTGTTGATGATAACCCAGATGACCCTCAGCTCATCACCTCTGGGGTGGACAGTGTGGCCATACCAGACCCTCAGACAAGTATCTCTGGGGTTGCTAGTGTACTACCCAAAGGCAACTCCACAAGATGTAATTATCATTTTCCAAGCGTTATAGTGATGACGATAGTGAAAGTGATATAAGTGACGATGATGAATTAAATTTTATGCCCATAGAGGATTCATCAAGTGACAGTGATTATCATTATTCCCCAGTAAAATGTACTTTTAGGCATTGTACCCTACATTCAGGAAGAGTGCCATGTGTAATCAGCGGCAAGGGTCATGGCAGGTCATGATCCAAAACCCCAGCTAGTGATAGTGATCATGAAGGTGAATATGTTGGGATGGAGGAAGAGGAGGTTGGTGGCATGGTGCCTGGACCTCGTGGTGCGGCGGGTGGGCAGACAAAGGACTGCCCTGCACCCTTTCAACCATATGCTGCCTCCACTCCCGTCCCCCCTCCTGCTTCCCCCCCCCCCCGTGTGAACAGTACTGATATAATGTGGAACAGTGAGAAAAGTAGAAAACACATGCCAAGGTTTACTGGAGGAAGTGTAGTGCAAGCATTTCATGCTAATGACATCACGTCCCGTTTGTCATGCACTGATGTGGCAAGACAAACAGGACGTGGTACAAACAGATGGACTGAGCAAGTACAACAATGAATCTATTATAAAGCCAGTTGCTGTCATCGACTATATGAACAATATGCGACTAGTCGACAAGTGTGACATGATGATTGGGTTTGTTGACTGTGTGTGTAGGAGTCGCAAGTGGTATATAAAAGTGTTTTTCCACCTTGTAGACACTGCAATGCTCAAGACTTTCAACATGTATGAAATAAAGACAGGGAAGGGACAATGATATGCAGAATTCACCCTTAGTGTCATCAAGCAGATAGCGAAAAAGTATGGTATCATACTTATACCTGTCACTCAACAGCGACCTGTCACTCCACAACAAGAGGGGGAAGTGCCCGACCAAATAATCCCTAACTGTCACTGCCTGATACCATTACCATCTACTCCAAAGAAGAAATACTCTCAGAAAAAGTGTGTTGTGTGTGCTTACACTACACAGCGACACCAAATGCAAAAAGACACGATTCATGTGTCAGCATTGTGGGGGTGGCACTCTGTATGAATCCATGCTTCTTGGAGTATCATACAGTGGTGGACTTCTAGAAACATAAATGGGACCTGTAAATACCTTGTATATATATGAAAAAAATAGAATGTGATTGAACCAGGTGTACAAATTCATCTATCAGTGTGAATGTGTGTGTTTGTGACAGTATGATTACTAATTCAGTACCAAACATTTGTGTCTCAAAAAGAATTGGCTATGAAATCAAAAGATCTGCAACAAAACATTATTATCATAAAATGAAAACAACAGAAAATAGAAAAGAATTGGAAAAAATTATAAATGTTTATTGTTTCTGCAAGCAGCAGTGCTCCATGTTGCCGACACCTCATCATTTAGCAAGAACTTTGCTGGCTTATATCTCGGTAAATACTGGCCCTAATTTTTTTTTTGTCCTATAACATTTATAAAAATGCACTCTTCATTTAAAAAAAAAATTACTTTTTAAAATATTCGAAGCACTGCGCAAGTGAACATAGATCTATGTTTAGACAGTTTAAAGGTTAAAGGGTTAATGGAAAATAATCTCTCTTTCTCCTACATGCTGTCATACATCTTTTCCAAATCCATAAATGCAACAACTTCCTTACCCTTATCTAAATGCTGTTCACTTATATGCTTCAGTGTAAACACTTTGTCTACACATCCCCTGCACTTCCTAAACCCATGTTCATCTGTGATCTTTCCCTCCATCTTGCCCTTATTTCCTTCAATAACATCTCTACTATACACCATACTAGGTATACTCAACAGGCTTATTTCCCCATGGGTTTTAAACTCTCTTTTGTTTCTTTTGCCTTTTGTTTCCTTTGCTCTCTGTCAATCCCTAAGTACCTTTCCCTCTTTCATTCTATCGGTGTACATAAATTCAGAGCAGCAGTACATCTTGGTGTAAGACACTAAGAGTTTTCTTTAATATTTATTTTAGGGATTTAAGAATTTATTTGAAGGGTCTTATTCTAATAAAAATAAAATTTAGCTTTATTAAATCATGTATAGTCTTTAAGATTTAAATTTTTAAGTACCCATGATACTAAGATGAAGGAAGTTAGAGTATGTAGTGTTGCTATTATTTTACAAATACATGGCACGAAATAACTAACTCAGTATTGTCTTCGCAGGATCTTTGCAAAGTGCTCATGTTCAGCAACGTGCATATGAGTTCAATAACAGCTTGATTATTTCGGCATCAATGTTAAGGTTAGTACAGTAGAATATTTTCCTGGTCAAAGTATGTATTGACTTTTGAATTTTGTTAAAATTTGGATCTTTTTAGTCATAATTTTTTCATTGCTCTTAATTTGTTTTATTTTTTTTTTTTTTTTTATTATCACACCGGCCGATTCCCACCAAGGCAGGGTGGCCCGAAAAAGAAAAACTTTCACCATCATTCACTCCATCACTGTCTTGCCAGAAGGGTGCTTTACACTACAGTTTTTAAACTGCAACATTAACCCCTCTTCAGAGTGCAGGCACTGTACTTCCATTCCCGGACTCAAGTCCGGCCTGCGGTTTCCCCGAACCTTCATAAAGTTACTTTGCTCACACTCCAACAGCACGTCAAGTATTAAAAACCATTTGTCTCCATTCACTCCTATCATACACGCTCACGCTATGCCTTTCTGGAAGTCCAACCCCTCGCACACAAAACCTCCTTTACCCCTCCCTCCACCTATTCCTAGGCGACCCCTCCCCGCCTTCTTCCACTACAGACTGAACACTCTTGAAGTCATTCTGTTTCGTCCATTCTCCTACATGTCCGAACCACCTCACAACCATCCTCAGCCCTTGGACAACAGTTTTGGTAATCCGACCTCATCTAACTTCCAAATACGATTCTCTGCATTATATTCACACCACACATTGCCCTCAGACATGACATCTCCACTGCCTCCAGCCTTCTCCTCGCTGCAACATTCATCACCCACGCTTCACCCCATATAAGAGCGTTGGTAAAACTATACTCTCATACATTCCCCTCTTTGCCCCCAAAGGAAAAAGGGTTTCTTTGTCTCCACAGACTCCAAAGGGTGCACCACTCACTCTTTTTCCCTCATCAATTCTATGATTCACCTCATCTTTCATAGACCCATCTGCTGACACGTCCACTCCCAAATTTATCTGAATACGTTCACCTCCTCCATACTCTCTCCCTCCAATCTGATATTCAATCTTTCATCACCTAATCTTTTGTTATCCTCATAACCTTACTCTTTCCTGTATTCACCTTTAATTTTTTTCTTTGCCCCAACCCCACCAATTCATCACCAATCTCTGCAACTTCTCTTCAGAATTCCCCAAGAGCACAGTGTCATCAGAAAAAAGCAAACTGTGACAACTCCCACTTGTGGTGTGATTTCTTTATCTTTTAACTCCACGCCTCTTGCCAAGGACCCTCGCATTTACTTCTCTTACAACCCATCTATAAATATATTAAACAACCCGGTGACATCACACATCCTTGTCTAAGGGGCCCACTTTTATGGGAAAAAATTTCCCTCTTTCCTACATACTCTAACTTGAGCCTCACTATCCTCGTAAAAACTCTTCGCTGCTTTCCCGTAAACCTACCTCCTACACCATACACTTGCAACATTTTGCCACATTGCCCCCTATCCAACCCTGTCATACGCCTTTTCCAAATCCCATAATGCCACAAAGACCCCTTTAGCCTTATCTAAATACTGTTCATTATATGTTTCACTGTAAACACCTGGTCCACACACCCCTACCTTTCTAAAGCCTCCTTGTTCATCTGCTATCCTATTCTCCGTCTTACTCTTAATTCTTTCAATTATAACTCTACCATACACTTTACCAGGGACACTCACAGACTTATCCCCTATAATTTTTGCACTCTCTTTTATCCCCTTTGCTTTATACAAAGGAACTATGCATGCTCTCTGCCAATCCCTAGGTACCTTACCTTCTTCCATACATTTATTAAATAATTGCACCAACCACTCCAAACTATATCCCCACTGCTTTTTAACATTTCTATCTTTATCCCATCAATCCGGCTGCCTTACCCCCTTTCATTTTACCTACTGCCTCACGAACTTCCCCCACACTCACAACTGGCTCTTCCTCACTCCTACAAGATGTTATTCCTCCTTGCCCTATACACGAAATCACAGCTTCCCTATCTTCATCAACATTTAACAATTCCTCAAATATTCCTTCCATCTTCCCAATACCTCTAACTCTCCATTTAATAACTCTCCTCTCCTATTTTTAACTGACAAATCCATTTGTTCTCTAGGCTTTCTTAACTTGTTAATCTCACTCCAAAACTTTTTCTTATTTTCAACAAAATTTGTTGATAACATCTCACCACTCTCTCATTTGCTCTCTTTTTACATTGCTTCACACTCTCTTAACTTCTCTCTTTTTCTCCATATACTTTCCCTCCTTGCATCACTTCTACTTTGTAAAAACTTCTCATATGCTAACTTTTTTCCCTTACTACTCTCTTTACATCATCATTCCACCAATCGCCCCTCTTCCCTCCTGCACCCACTTTCCTGTAACCACAAACTTCTGCTGAACACTCTAACACTACATTTTTAAACCTACCCCATACCTCTTCGACCCCATTGCCTATGCTCTCATTAGCCCATCTATCCTCCAATAGCTGTTTATATCTTACCCTAACTGCCTCCTCTTTTAGTTTATAAACCTTCACCTCTCTCTTCCCTGATGCTTCTATTCTCCTTGTATCCCATCTACCTTTTACTCTCAGTGTAGCTACAACTAGAAAGTGATCTGATATATCTGTGGCCCCTCTATAAACATGTACATCCTGAAGTCTACTCAACAGTCTTTTATCTACCAATACATAATCCAACAAACTACTGTCATTTCGCCCTACATCATATCGTGTATACTTATTTATCCTCTTTTTCTTAAATATGTATTACCTATAACTAAACCCCTTTCTATACAAAGTTCAATCAAAGGGCTCCCATTATCATTTACACCTGGCACCCCAAACTTACCTACCACACCCTCTCTAAAAGTTTCTCCTACTTTAGCATTCAAGTCCCCTACCACAATTACTCTCTCACTTGGTTCAAAGGCTCCTATACATTCACTTAACATCTCCACAAATCTCTCTCTCTCCTCTGCATTCCTCTCTTCTCCAGGTGCATACACGCTTATTATGACCCACTTCTCGCATCCAACCTTTACTTTAATCCACATAATTCTTGAATTTACACATTCATATTCTCTTTTCTCCTTCCATAACTGATCATTTAACATTACTGCTACCCCTTCCTTTGCTCTAACTCTCTCAGATACTCCAGATTTAATCCCATTTATTTCCCCCCACTGAAACTCTCCTACCCCCTTCAGCTTTGTTTCGCTTAGGGCCAGGACATCCAACTTCTTTTCATTCATAACATCAGCAATCATCTGTTTCTTGTCATCCGCACTACATCCACGCACATTTAAGCAACCCAGTTTTATAAAGTTTTTCTTCTTCTCTTTTTTAGTAATTGTATACAGGAGAAGGGTTACTAGCCCATTGCTCCCGGCATTTTAGTCGCCTCATACGACACGCATGGCTTACGGAGGAAAGATTCTTTTCCACTTCCCCATGGACAATAGAAGAAATAAAAAAGAACAAGAGCTATTTAGAAAAAGGAGAAAAACCTAGATGTATGTATATATATATATGCATGTGCGTGTCTGTGAAGTGTGACCAAAGTGTAAGTAGGAGTAGCAAGATATCCCTGTTATCTTAGCGTGTTTATGAGACAGAAAAAGAAACCAGCAATCCTACCATCATGCAAACAGTTACAGGTTTTTGTTTCACAGTCATCTGGCAGGACGGTAGTACTTCCCTGGGTGGTTGCTGTCTACCTACCTAAGTATATATTTTTTTCAGCAAAGACAAAGATACCTGGTGCAGTTTGATTGGAGATGGAGCTATGATTGAGGCTGTAAAGTTAGCAGAGGACAAGTCTGGGGATATGATAGTACGCTTGTATGAGATGAAAGGCGGGAGTCCCAAGATATTGTAAGTATCCTATATTAAGTCAAGGATGTCTTAATCTTAAGAAAAAAAATTGAATACTCAAAGACTTTTTTTTATTTTTACATAGATCTATTGACAGATTAAGTGGTATTAACCTGTTTCAGCTCAGTTCAAAAGTGGGGCCCTTCCTTAGAGACAATATCACCCTGAAGATATGACCCACGGCATTCAGTTAACTCTCTGGTACTTGTTTACTGCTAGGCCAACAGAGGCAAAAGGTTTAAGGAAATTTGTTTATATTCTCTTCAGTTTCTTGAATTGAAAATGGGTCACTCTGGCTGTGAGCCATATGCTCTACCACTTTTCAGAAGTAGGACTGAGTATCAAAATAACACTCCCTCTGTTGTTCAGTAATGGTTGATATATGTGCATGTGAGTGAGTGTGAGTGAGTGAGTGAGTGAGTGAGTGAGTGAGTGTGTGTGTGTGTGTGTGTGTGTGTGTGTGTGTGTTTGTGTGTTGTGTGTGTGTGTGTGGGTGTGTGTTTTGGGGTTGCATGTGTGTGTGTGTGTATGTGTGTGTACTCACCTATTTGTACTCACCTTTTGTGGTTGCAGGGGTCGAGTCATAGCTCCTGGCCCCGCCTCTTCGCTGATTTCTACTAGGTCCTCTCTCTCCCTGCCCATGAGCTTTATCATACCTCGCCTTAAAAAATATGTATGGTTCCTCCGCCTCCACTACGTCACTTTCTAGGCTATTCCACGGTCTGACTACTCTATGATTGAAGAAATACTTCCTAACATCCCTTTGATTCATCTGAGTCTTCAACTTCCAATTGTGACCTCTTGTGTCTGTGTCCCCTCTCTGGAACATTCCGTGTTTGTCCACCTTGTCTATTCCGCGCAGTATTTTATATGTTGTTATCATGTCTCCCCCTGACCCTCCTGTCCTCCAGTGTCGTCAGGCCGATTTCCCTCAACCTTTCTTCGTAGGACAATCCCCGTAGCTCTAGGACTAGCCTTGTTGCAAACCTTTGCACTTTCTCTAATTTCTTGATGTGCTTGACTAGGTGTGGATTCCAAACTGGTGCTGCATACTCCAGTATTGGCCTGACGTAAATGGTATACAGAGTCTAGAACAAATCCTTACTGAGGTATCGGAACGCTATCCGTAGGTTTGCCAGGTGCCTGTATGCTGCAGCAGTTATCTGATTGATGTGCACCTCAGGAGATATGCTTGGTGTTATTCTCACCCCCAGATCTTTTTCCTTGAGTGAGGTTTGCAGTCTTTGGCCATCTAAACTATATTGTGTCTGCGGTCTTCTTTCCCCTTTCCCCCAATCTTCATGACTTTGCATTTGGCAGGGGTTAAACTCAAGGAGCCAGTTGCTGGACCAGGCTTGTAGCCTGTCCAGGTCTCTTTGTAGTCCTGCCTGATCCTCATCTGATTTGATTCTTCTCATTAACTTCACATCATCTGCAAACAAGGACACTTCGAGTCTATCCCTTCTTTTTATGTTGTTCACATATCCCAAGAACAGCACGGTCCTAGGACTGACCCTGTGGAACCCCGCTTGTCACAAGCGCCCACTCTGACACCTCATCACGTACCATGACTCGTTGTTGCCTCCCTGTCAGGTATTCTCTGATCCATTTGCAGTCCCTTTTCCCTGTTATGTGTGCCTGATCCTCTAGCTTTTTTTCAGTAACCTCTTGTGAGGAACTGTGTCGAAGGCCTTCTTGCAGTCCAAAAAAATGCAGTCGATCCACCCCTCTCTCTCATGTCTTACTTCTGTCACCTTGTCATAAAAACTCTAGTAGGTTTGTGACACAGGATTTTCCTTCCCTGAAACTGTGCTGGTTTTCAGTTCTACACTTGTTTCTTTCCAGGTGCTCCACACTCTCCTCCTGATGATCTTCTCCATGACCATGCTTACTATACTTTTTAGTGATACAGGTCTGTAGTTTAGTGCCTCATGTCTGTCTCCCTTTTTAAAAATTGGGACTACATTTGCCATCTTCCATACCTCAGGGAGTTGCCCAGTTTCAAATGATGTGTTTTAAGTTTTTTGTTAATGGCACACACAATATCTTTGCTCCCTCTTTAAGGGCCCCCAGGAGGATGGGTTTTCTGGTTTCCCCCCGCCTTTGAGGTTTTCAAGTTCGCATAGCAGCTTCTTCACTTCCTCCTTGGTATATGTACCTCATCCAGCACTTGCTGGTGTACCCCCCTGTTCTGATTTCCTGGAGTCCTACTGGTTTCCACTGTGTGTGTGTGTGTGTGTGTGTGTGTGTGTGTGTGTGTGTGGTGTATACAGTGGACCCCCGCCTTACGATCAGCTCCCAACTCGAACAATTATGCAAGTGTATTTTTGTACGTGCTTTTGTACGTGTATTTTTGGGAGTCTGAAACTGACTAATCTAATTCACAATATTCCTTATGGGAACAAATTTTGTCGGTAATGGCACCCGAACAGACTTCTTGAATGAAATAATATCGTAAGGCGGGGGTCCACTGTATTTTTTTTTTTATTTATTAACACACTGGCCGATTCCCACCAAGGCAGAGTGGCCCGAAAAAGAAAAACTTTCACCATCATTCACTCCATCACTGTCTTGCCAGAAGGGTGCTTTACACTACAGTTTTTAAACTGCAACATTAACACCCCTCCTTCAGAGTGCAGGCACTGTACTTCCCATCTCCAGGACTCAAGTCCGGCCTGCCAGTTTCCCTGAATCCCTTCATAAATGTTACTTTGCTCACACTCCAACAGCACATCAAGTATTAAAAATCATTTGTCTCCATTCACTCCTATCAAACACCCTCATGCATCCCCGCTGGAAGTCCAAGCCCCTCCCCCACAAAACCTCCTTTACCCCCTCCCTCCAACCTTTCCTAGGCCAACCCCTACCCCGCCTTCCTTCCACTACAGACGATACACTCTTGAAGTCATTCTGTTTTGCTCCATTCTCTCTACATGTCCGAACCACCTCAACAACCCTTCCTCAGCCCTCTGGACAACAGTTTTGGTAATCCCGCACCTCCTCCTAACTTCCAAACTACGAATTCTCTGCATTATATTCACACCACACATTGCCCTCAGACATGACATCTCCACTGCCTCCAGCCTTCTCCTCGCTGCAACATTCATCACCCATGCTTCACACCCATATAAGAGCGTTGGTAAAACTATACTCTCATACATTCCCCTCTTAGACTCCAAGGACAAAGATCTTTTTCTCCACAGACTCCTAAGTGCACCCCTCACCCTTTTCCCCTCATCAATTCTATGATTCACCTCATCTTTCATAGACCCATCCGCTGACACGTCCACTCCCAAATATCTGAATACATTCACCTCCATATTCTCTCCCTCCAATCTGATATCCAATCTTTCATCACCTAATCTTTTTGTTATCCTCATAACGTTACTCTTTCCTGTATTCACTTTTAATTTTCTTCTTTTGCACACCCTACCAAATTCATCCACCAACCTCTGCAACTTCTCTTCAGAATCTCCCAAGAGCACAGTGTCATCAGCAAAGAGCAACTGTGATAACTCCCACTTATGTGTGATTCTTTATCTTTTAACTCCACGCCTCTTGCCAAGACCCTCGCATTTACTTCTCTTACAACCCCATCTATAAATATATTAAACAACCATGGTGACATCACACATCCCTGTCTAAGGCCTACTTTTACTGGGAAATAATCTCCCTCTTTCCTACATACTCTAACTTGAGCCTCACTATCCTCGTAAAAACTCTTCACTGTTTTCAGTAACCTACCTCCTACACCATACGCCTGCAACATCTGCCACATTGCCCCCCTATCCACCCAGTCATACGCCTTTTCCAAATCCATAAATGCCACAAAAACCTCTTTAGCCTTATCTAAATACTGTTCACTTATATGTTTCACTGTAAACACCTGGTCCACACACCCCCTACCTTTCCTAAAGCCTCCTTGTTCATCTGCTATCCTATTCTCCATCTTACTCTTAACCCTTTGACTGTCGCGGCCGTATATATACGTTTTACGAGGTGCCGTATATATACTCATAAATTCTAGCGGCTTCAAATCAAGCAGGAGAAAGCTGGTAGGCCCACATGTGAGAGAATGGGTCTGTGTGGTCAGTGTGCACCATATAAAAAAAATCCTGGAGCACGCAGTGCATAATGAGAAAAAAAAAACTCCGACCGTTTTTTTTAATTAAAATGCCGACTTTGTGGTCTATTTTCGTATAGTATTTATGGTTGTTTTCTCGTTTTCTTGGTCTCATATGATAGAATGGAAAACATATTACAGAAATAGAGGTGTTTTTGATTGATTTTACTATAAAAAGAACCTAGAAATGGAGCTCAAAGTAGGGGAAATGAATGATTTTTGCCAATGTTCAAAAGTAAACAAATGATGCCTTTGTCCAATAAATGTCCAACTAGCCAATCTAATATGCAGTCACGAATGGGTTGATGTTATTTATACAGTTATTACAGCATTGCAGTAGTCTGCATAATAGTAAGTCTAATATTTTTTGTTTGAATAAAAATTCAAAATAGAAAGCAAGAGTAATATCAGAGGGGCCTGGAGACGTAACTGATGAACAAAGAAAACGTTATTTTAGAGCCTGGAATGTCTGCATTGTTCATTCTGGACCTTATTTTGAAATTGTCATATTTTTTAGTTTTCGTGAAATTGGCCAAATTGCAAATTTCTGACCACATTATTAGGTAGTTGAAATCAGTAAATGGGCAGTTTCTTGTACTCAATCGATAGAAAAAATGAAGTTCTAAAGAAATAGCTATGAGTTTGTTCGACTGGAACAATGGAATTAGCGGAAAATAGGGCTCAAAGTGGGCGAAATCGCCGATTTGTAAACAGCGCCGAGGTCGCTAACTTCGCGAGAGCATAATTCCGTCAGTTTTCCATCAAATTTCGTTTTTTTGGTGTCATTACAATCGGGAAAAGATTCTCTATCATTTCATAAGAAAAAATTATTTTTTTTTTTTTAAATTTTGCAACACCAGGAGACACCTCAGGATTG